CAACTGGGAGAGCGTGCGGAACCAATCGTCGTACGCCGTGGAGGCGGGGGCCTGGCAGAAGTGCTCTTGGCCCTCGTCGGCCAGCCGGCGTAGAGTGCCAGCCGAGGCCTCCTGCGGGTCCGCGATCTGCACTGCACTGAAGCCTCCTTCCCTCGCCGACGCCGTCATCGTCTCCGTCCACTCGTCCAGGGAGGGGAGGTAGGCCGCTGGGACATTGTAGCTGCGCTGCCGCGGGCCTCTGCACCTGCGGCCGATGGAGTAGATCAGCCGCCACACCCCGTGGTAGTCGTGCACGCCGCGGTACCGCTCCGCCTCGTGCAGTAGCTGCTCCACGTACTCTAAGTCCATCTGCTTCTTCATCTGCTTGATCTCCTTCTCGAGCCTGCGCAGGTAGAGCCTGTCCGCTTCGGTGAAGCACCCTAGGCGGGCGTTCTTCCTCTTGGACAGTACTTCTGCTCTTCGCTGAATGTGAGCGTGCAGTGCCCCCCTCTGCGCCGTCTTCGTCGCCACGGGCTGCGCCGCCTCCTGGATGTCCTGCACCAGCTCCTGCCACGCCTCCGACGGGTCGAGTTGCCGACTCTGCGACTCCCAGTGCTGCCTCTTCGCGTGCGAGACCCTCTCCAGCTCCGCGATGATGTCGCAGCCGTCGCCCTTGTGCTCGAGTAGCTTCGCTAGGTACTCCCTGTCCCACGAGGCCACGGTGCCCGTCTCCTGGTCGTTCGGAGCCTGCAGCTGGTAGTGCGCCTGCCAGAGGAGCGGGGCGTGATCCCTCGGCTTGGAGTCAGGGATGACCTGCAGCTCTCTCATGCATCGCCTCAAGACGCGGCACTGCTTGGTCGCCTGCAGGGCACTCGCGGGGACCAGGATGTGGTCGGGGGCACTCTGCGACTCCGTGCCGTAGTACGTCGGGCCAACAGGGTAGAAGCTGTCGACGACCGCCATGTCCTCCATCTCTAGAATCCTCCAGATCTCCGCCGAGACTTCGTTTTCTTCACCTACTGCAAAGGGGCCGACGTGCCTATCATCACGGGTCGGCGTGACTAGCCCCTGTCCCACTCGTCTTCTCCCGAACTGGCAGTTGGCGTCGAGGCCCACCACTACGAGCGAGCGCTGCTTCGCATGCTGGATGGCAGAGTGGACCCAGGCCGCCAGCTTCTTGCACGTGCTCCGCCAGTGGTCCGCCTTCATGTTGGACATCGGCGGAAAGTAGCCGACTATGACCGTCACGTCGAACTGTCCTGAGCGGACGCGGAGGAGACCCCCGCGTCCAGCTAGGTCGCCTGGCGGGTAGCTGATCTCCACCACGTGTGTGCTCCTGATCGCCCTCTTCCTCAAGAACACTGCACACCCTGCACTCTTGTTGGTGTGCCGTCCCCGCTCCCACCCGAACTGGTACACTGTGTGTGTGTGCGGGTGTGCAAGGTCGTCACTGCTTGGCGCAACTTCTGCCTCTGGGTGGTCGCGGGGCACACGATGATGTCTACGAAAGAGAGACTGGAGGCTATGTCCTCGGCCCTCCACGCGTCTGAGATATGCAACGGGTTGTACAACACGAAATTCAGTAGTTGGTTCCACATGCATCTAGTAGCCCAATAAAAATGTGAGTGTGTGGGGGCGAGCCCCCCCCTGGCTCCTGGCGGTTGGGGGTGTTCCGCGCGCGCGCGAGGGGGGCCCCAGGGCCGCGGGCCTGAGGGAAAGGGGCTGACGAGGAGGAGGGTGGAGGCTGACTGGCGCCCGAAGCTCCCTCGCCGCCGCCTGGCTCTTCGGCCGGCCGGGCGAACATGGAGCCGGAGGGCGCTCGACCAGGCAGCAAACGTTCAGAGCCTGAGGCATCCATCTGTCAAAGTGCCCAGGCCACATTCTCGGAATCTAGCTTCCCTTGCGTCAGCGTTATCCAGTTATGTTGGCCCTGTGCTGTGAGCGCGGCGCCTTCCTCGAGTAGTCCCTTGAGCTTCGACGAGAACCACATGTTGTGACCCTCTGCATTTGTCAGCTGGGCCTCGCGCCAGATCACGAGCTGCACCAGGGCCTCGTTCTGCTCGCGAGCTGCTTCGAACAGCGCTTCGCGCCCTGCTCTACGGAGATCATCTCCCTCGCGTTCTCCAGCCATGACGTCCACGCGCTGGAGGATCGCGGTCAGCCAGCCCGAACCGACCAAGACGCTCTCGGGGATATCCTCGACATCGAAAATCTCGAGTAGCTTCTCAGCACGGCGCCCGACTGCCACGTCCGTGTTCGTGTTCCATATATTGACTGCTCGCTGCCACTGCCTGTAGTGGGCCCAGCCGGGCCAAGACGGTGGGTCTGAGAAGTCACCTCGGGCGCCGCCTCCGCCGGCACAGGACGCCCAGCCCTGCTGCCAATCGGAAGTTCCCCCGCCTCCGCGCCAGCTTTCCCAGGCCAGGTCGCCGCTCGGCTCGGCGTCGCCCTTGCTCTGGCTCCTTTGGCAGCCCTCGCCTGCGGACCAGCGCCAGCCAGAGAAGGAGGGCCACTCCTCCCATGTGTCCAGGCCCTTGGGCTCGGGCCTTGGTCTGAGAATCCTGCTGCCAAGGGTCTGGGATCGCGCCCGCCGCGGACGCTTCTGCTCTGCTGGTCGCGCCAGGAGTCTCCCTGATTGCGCCGGCGATCCAGTCGCGCCTCCGCGGTGACGCCCGCTGCCGTCTGTACTCGCGCGAGCTCTGACTCGCGCTCTTCCAGACCGGCAGCGCTGGGCTGTCTTTTCCTCTTGTCCTGCCACGCCGTGGAATGCCACGCCAATCGGACCTGAAGCGAGGTCCGCGCCAGGAGCTCTAGAAAGACGGAACCGCGCGTATCAGCGCCGCCGCCTGTCCCCCATTGGACGCCCGGCGAGAACCCCGTTCCGCTACCAACTGTGGCGGTAGTCTCCTCTCCAAAATGGTTTTGTTGGCTTGAACCACAACACGACACGAACATCCCTTTCTCTGCTGAGCCTTTTTAAGCGAAAGTTGACATGCTGTTACATAGTGACATGCCATGGCGAGACATACAATGCCAATGCATAGCAGAACATATCATATAATAGCAGCGCACCAGAACAGATAATACCATAACATATCGGGACGTAGCATTCCACAACACGGCACAACAAGGCATGTCAGGACAGAGCCGACCATACATATTATAGCAAACCACAATTCAGCATAACAGATCACAGCTGACAGTAACATTACATCTTATCGAATTACACAAGCTACCAAAGCATAGCACAACGGAACATCCAACCACACAACAGGACAGAACATGCCATGACATACCACAGCACCACAAACCATAGCATTACAGAGCATGGCAAAACCCATCATGACAGCGCGCGGTATCACATGTTATGAAGTAGCAGGCCATAGCATAACATAACGCAACACAACATAACATGCCATGGCGAAACTGAACATCGATTATAACTTGACATCAAACCGCAACGAGTGAAACCGAATGATTGCATCATCATCGGGCTGTGTATATTGCAGAGGAACGTCTTGACACAGCAAACACGGAATATTACAGTGGACATAACACGACGTAGTGCAAATGACAATCAAAACATAACAACACATACCATGCTCCAGCATAACATATCATGTCACAGCACGATGCCGCAGAGCAAGGCATGACATAATATGTCAAAACGTATTGTGGCATAAGTGAGCATGACAGAGCACACGGCAACACAAGATAAACATCTGTGAGTATGAGCATCACGACATTAGGTACACATCTACTTCTATACCATGGCAACACTAGCAAAACACACAACGTGCGCGCCGAGGACAGCCCAGACACAAGTACACACAGGCGCAACAACGACCGCGTGGACGACACATCTATTGTGACAGGCGTCACGACGTCACGTCCCCCGCCGAGAACAGAACAGACATAACAAAGCACATCACAATAGAACGCTAGCACATCAAACTGATATTAAAGCATAACGAATAGAGCACACCATAACCAACATAACCTAGCATACTTGCAATATTACTGCTAGCCCTCCACCAACGATTTCAATATAGCACGGCTGGCTATAACTATATGGGAGAGTAATGCCATAGCAGAGCAAGTCATACTATACGAACACAAAGTGAGCAAACCCTGAACGGCATCACGTATAATAGCACAACATCACATACTCGGACGTAACATACGTTTTATGCCATAACGTTGTGCCACAGAGCAGAGCATCTCATATCACAGCACATCATCCAATGATAGGAATACGACGTGTCTAATGTGAAAGGCGTCACGGCGTCACGCCGTCCCGTCGACAACATAGCATATCAGAGCGTGGCATGGCAGAAAAGAACCGTATCGAGCATGACATAATTGAATCCTGTTAAACACAACAACGACATATTAAGGACGCACTGTCAACCGCAGCATCCGCGCCCTGCTACAAGAAAACAGGCGCGGCAACGACCAGAACCCGCGCACATTGTTCCAGCAGGCGCGCGCAACGTTGGGAGCAAACGCCGAAGGCTTCGTTGGGGATCGCTCGAAGCAAAATGACTGTTGCAACCTCAACGTGGGTACATCAACCGATGATGTTGGCCTCTCAGGTGTGTCCCTGCGGGGGGGCTTCCAGGACACCTCGGTGTAATTTCGGGGCCTTCTTGGGGACTCTTGGAAACATGCTGGAGGCCTTCTTGAGCTAATTTGGCCCATCTGGCGCCACCTGGGAGACATGCCAAGCCTTGTCCTGCATTTCCTGGCCTCGTCCAGCCCATTCCTTCTTGTCCTTCTCCTCTTCCTCCTCCTTGTCATCCTCCTCCTCCTTGTCCTCCTCCTCCTCCCTGTCCTCCTCGTGCCCGTAAGCATCCTGTCCTCCCTCTCCTTCTCCACGTCCTCCTCTTCTTCATCCCCCTCCGCTTCCTGTTCCTCCTCCTCCTCCTCTTCCTCCTCCTCCCCCCCCCCCTCGCCCCCCCTCCCCTTCCTTCCCGAGGTGCGCCAGGCCCCCCGAGCGGGCGAGGGAGTAGAGCGGTGACCAGCTGCAGGGTGTCGTCGTGGCCCAGCTCGTCGTCGAGCTCGAAGATGCGGCTCACGCGCTGCACGCGGCGGGAATCGGAGCCTCCTCCTCCTCCTCCTCCTCCTCCTCCTCCTCCTCCTCCTCCTCCTCCTCTCAGGAACCAAATCTTGGGAGATCTTCGAAACAACGGCTAAGGGCTAGCAAGCCCGACCAAAGGGCCACTGAGCCACGTTAGGCCAAATTGGACCCAAGATGAAATTGGGTTAGGCGGGATTCAGCGCAATTGAATGGGACTGTGCCGGGTTCGGCCTGTTCTCGACCACGGGCATGCCAGGGCCGATGCTGAAGTAAATCTGCCAGGAGGTGCAACCTGACTCCTCCTTCCTGGAGGACCTGGCGAAAAGGCCCAGGAAGGCAAAGCGAGCCCGACGCTGGCCACAATGCGGCTCAGGGTCGTGTCGGGAAGCGTCGCGCACCGCAGAACCCTCCAGCTCCTCCCTTCTCCAGATCCTCCTCCTCCCTCTCGACCTCCTCGCCCCCCTTCTCCTGCTGGCCCTACCCGTCCTCATACTCCTTGCGTCCTCCTCCCTTCGCCTCCTCCTCCTCCTCCTCCTCATGCACCTCCGCCTCCTCCGCCCTCTCCTCGTCGTCCTCGTCCTCCAGCTCCTTTGACCCCCTTCTCCCTCCTTCATCACCCTCTTCGTACGTACGCAACTCCTACTCCTCCTCCTTCTCCTCCTCCATCGCACCTCCAGGCGTGTCGGTAAGGGATGTTTCGCTTGATGCTTCCTCATGAACTGTGACCCTGAAGCTGGCAGATTACAACGATACTGCATCTGTACAGATGCAGGGCGAACTGTTTCAAGATGCGTACTTGACTTAGCGCCTCGCACGTTCATACTACAAAGCTTCGCAAATTCAATGGGTGAAGGGCAGGTGGCCTCGACATGCGGTCCTCGCCTTACAACTTCGCGCCTCGCGATCGTCGTAACGTTTTCAAAACATACACTGCTTGAAGCGTGCCACTTCCGGAGTGCTGTTCCCGCCCCAGGATCGTGCGCTTTCGTCCGTAACGTCCCAAACAGCCACTCGTATGGAAGCCGACTCCTGTTCAAACTGCGGCTCTCGCTGGAGACGTGCCCAATGTAACAAACTTAAGTCATGCCTTTGAGTTGCGACACCACCAAGCGGATAGAGGACAGTTTCTGTCTCAAACGAGGCTCTGGAGGAACACCTCCAAGAACTGCACCATCGTTGCGAATGTTGAAGGCTACCCCGTGGCTAGAACAAATGTTTGCGGGGTTTCTGTGGAAGGGACTTGGAATGGGAATTCGACTTGCAGCACCATCGTTGACGCATCCAATGCGTATGATTGCCATTATCCTTCTCATCCTCGTGCTCAGCATAAGCATCATCATTAGCATCAACATCATCATACAGTAAACACTATTAGTATCAATATCATCATCGACCTCATCCTGATCCTCATCCTCATCATAATCAGCATCATCAGCAGCAGCATCATATCGTCATCATCATCATCATCATCATCATCATCATCATCATCATCATCATCATCATCATCATCATTCTCATCATTCTCATCATCAGCATCATCATTTTCGCCGTCAATATCGGCATCAAGATCATCACCATCATCATTATCATCATCAGCAGCATCGTCATCATCATCAGCATCAGCATCAGCATCAGGAACAACACAGCCAACAGTATCAGCACCATCATCAGTGTCACTGCCATCATCATCATCACCATCAGCAGTATCAGTATCATCAACATCACCATCGTCAGCACCATCAGCATCATCATCATCAAGACCATCAACAACCTCATCATCAGCATCGTCACCATCATCATCACCATCATCATCACCATCATCATCATCAACATCATCATCGTCGTCATCATCGTCGTCATCCAATCCCCTGTCTTACCCTTACGGCCATGACGAACTCTTCGGTCCGCTTGTCCGTCAGGGCCACCGAGTTACGCAGAAGCCTGCCGGGTTTCCAAGAGCCCTCTCGAGCACCGTCTCAAATTGGGCTTACGTCGTCGTTGTTCGAGCCTGTCGCCGAGACCGTCGTGCCCAGCTCTCTCGTGGAATCGGTCCTTGGCCACACTCGCAGCAATCCGTGAACTCGCGGTCGGAGTGCTCTGATCGTGAAAGCGCATCTTCTGCGAGTCGGGGATCCGTCCACATCCACAGCCAGGGGAGCCGAGGCCCTGGGACCCCAGAGGGCGGTGGATACAGTCGGGGCGTTGACCTAAGGAACCCTAAATAAGGAACGGGGCCTCTTTCTCCCATAATTTGAACTTCGATTTCCCATGGAAAACCTTAGGAAAACAAAAGGCAAACTGCAGAACAATCAAGGAACACCGAGCCCCTCCCCAACGAAAGGGGTTCCTTCTTCAGGGCCCTGACTGTAAGGATATTTACTGGGGGGCCTGGGGCCCAAATATATCCATATGCACCGCCTGCCGAGGTCCCCGAAGATCGA